CCTGCTGAGCAATATTCCCCAATAGCGCCTCTTAAGAGCAAAAACAAGCAAACAAAACCAACTACTATCTTTCAACAAGCAAAGTCATAAATATTGCTATTTTATGAAAATGGTATATCCTTAGTGTTTTTAGAACTGTGTTAATGCTTTGTGATGTCCTTAATTATTTTGTCATTAGTAAAAATTAGCCAGTAATTAATTTTAATTAATAATCAAAAAAAAAGCCATTACTTAAATTCATAATGCAATTTCAGAAATTAATGTTTAGAATAGTTGCAGATTTCTAACTTGCATATCATATAAACCATAAGACTGTAGATTACAAATTGAGCAATGTACTAAACCACACAGAACAATTCAGAAACATTTGTGTTTAACATTAGTATCATAAGAGAATAATTATGCATTCAATTTTAACAGCTCTGCCTTGAAGACGTGACTACACAAAAAAAGTTTTTCCTCTCCTTGAATTGAAGCCAATACCTCCTTTAAAAATAAAAACCAAAACCAAACAACAAACCACACAGTAAGTTTTCACAAACCTCCTTAAAGATTCTAGTGAATTTTGATGTCTGCATATAAATGCAGAAGCCATTGTTACATAGAACACTTGCACAGATTTCAAAATAAATCATGTTCAGTAAAACCCTAGGTGAATTTTGCCTTTAATAACTGTTGAAAATTTAAATCCCTGTTCCTCTGGTTATTTTTGTGTCTTGATTCAAAACAGATGGCTCCCTCTAGTGAGACTACCACGCTTAGTTTTTTGCTAGGAATTAGGATTCTCAGTATCAAGCAGCATAATTGGCATAATGACATATTATTTCCACTGGTCAATGCAGACCTCATTTAAGTGAAAATGAATACTTAGCGGCCAAAAACATCATTATGGGAACTCTACTTGGCCTTGTAAAACGAATTTATGACATCAAGAAAGAAAGTATTGGAACACAAACCAGTAAGTCTCCAAATAACATTGGTGCAATAAGTCTAGCCTCACAGTATACATGGTCCTATTACTATTTCACATAGGAAAAAAAATAAAGTTACCTCTTTACCACCACCAGAAACTTTGATCATTCTATCAACATATTCACGGGCTTTGTCCTCACGACCAAGATGCCACAAAAATAAGCCAGCAAAGTACAGAGCCTGCTGTCCTGCTGTTTTACGTTGCTCCTTCATTTTTGCGTCCAATTCTAGTATAGCATCTCTATCTGAAAAGGTTTTGTTCAAAGCTTTTGTTGATAGCATCTCAAAATATTACAAGAGTACCACATAAGTCAAGAGCTTGCAAAGCAAACACTGTTTTCTGTATTATATACTGACAAACGCAGAGGCAATCCCTCCCAATTAAAAATATTAATCAGGTACAGACTTAAAAGAAGTAAAGGGTTTCCCATCAACAGGGTCATTTGTGCAAAACCACACTATTTGTTAAACCTTAGATTTGTAGCTGAGGCCTCAGCCAGATAAATGAAAACTTGACAATAAGGTTCACATTTATACCAGCAACTGCCAAATAAGTAAACAGTTAACTATAGAGCAGCCCTAAAATCATGAACACAAGACAATTTAGCTCCAGAATCCCTGGAAAATGTGTGATGTGTTTCTTAACACTAAAGCTCATTTTCTTACATCCTCGTTGTTACTGTCAGTTGCTCTCATCAGGTTAATCCCACACAGAAACTTCATTTGGCTTGTGGGAGTCACTGCCAAGTATTTCCTTTCACCCACGTTCATTTCTGGTCCTTTCTTAGGAGCCATTAAAACCAAATGTATGACTCTTACTGCCATGACTTTCTCCCACAGTCTTGAAATACAAGACAATTTCGCTGCCCTACATCTGTTAGCCCTCAGGGACTCAAATAAGACTAATGTCATTAGTCAGAGATGTTTCACATCATACTGCTTAGCAAAACTGTTGGTAACAGTTATAAATCTGCACAGTTAGGAAGATGCCAGGGCAATAGTTTAATGACAACTAGGTTCACCTGATAAACCAACTGTGGTTTTGAGAACGTACTTCTTTGCAAAATAACACCAGTTTTTAGATTGGAGAAAGGAATACCAATGTTCACAAAATTCTCTTCTCCATTTGTAAGGTCAGGGTAACTTGAAAGATAGAAATGGCGTAGCTTTAATGACTTAAATGGCAGTTCTGCTCAAAAGAATTGACATCAGACAAGACGGTGCAACAATCACACAAGCGTGATTCAAATTTTTTTTTCCCATTAAATATTTTTCATCATGGTAGATGTAATTTTTTTTATTTTTTAGTGTTTTATTTTAACACTCAATCTTACTCTTCACAGTTTTGTGTTTTGGTATTTTTGTTTACAATTTTGACAAGCATCACTCAATTCAGTACTAGATACTATATCAAATGCAAAGCTGGAGTATACCCTTTTAAATTAGGCTGAATTCAAATTCAGATCGTCACACACAGCTGTTTGAAACATGAAGCAGTATCGTCTTAATGAGCATACCTGGATTAGGGCTTTTTTTATGGGCATAAATCAGAGCCATCATTGCACAAAGTGACACCTCCTGTTTGTTTTTAATAGACTCCAACTGTCGAATACTCTCTTGGATGTCACCTAGCAAAAACAAGTGCAGAATAGATTGTAACATTTTTCAAGACAGAGAATATCACCATCAAACCTCAATCTGACTCAAATTTTTCTTTTGTGTTTTTGATAACACTTTCTTCATAACTTCCTTCATTATTCACACATCCATTTTCACTTGTTTGTGCAAGTCTTTCAAACAGGCACAAGAAAGAAAAAAGCATCTCAATGCTGAGAACTTGAAAGGACTTATGTGCTATTTCTGACAACTGCCATAAAGATGAAAATCATCTTTATTATTTGTTTTATACAGGGCACTGAGCAGCTCTTTTTGCTCCTGTTTCTTTATATAGCCAGGATTTTTGCCTTGTTTGTGTGAACCTTTTGAACATCAACCAAAGAGACACTATCTTGAAAAACAGGAACATATGACTGTAAAACAAACAAAACAAGTCAGGGAGTTTGGAAAAAGATACACCACCTCAGACTTTTTGAATCCTTCCCAGCCATGGCTGCCATAGCCCTCCCCCACTTTGGGTTACTTGTTAGTATTCTGTGACATCCTTGAAATACAGATTTAGCTAAATAAACGTCTCAAAACAGTTTAGTGTACACAAAGATCCTCCCAATAGTTATTAGCCATCAGCTCCTCTGAGGCAGATGGATACAACAAAGTTAGGTACAGCTGTATTGAAGAGAAATTAGTTGCAACAAGCAAATTTATCTTTGTGACACAATGCAACAGACATTTGGTCAGGGCTCAAATTCCCTCCAAGGAACCTGTTTACCTGACCCACGTTAATGTAACCATTTAAAATAAAGAAAGAAAGAAAGAAAAGGAGACTCATTATTCCTCACGTCAGCTCTATACCACTTAGATCAATTCCATTCAAACTGGGGTGGGAGAGGTGACAGATCATGAAACACTGACATGAGTAATCTTCTCGACACGGAAAACATTCAGACCCCGTAATACTGCTTTTTGTGTAGCAGACTAAACACTGTGAATTTCGTAACGCAAGGAAGACCACCGTTTTGGAAGGGCGACGGAGAGACAGGAGACCACAACCGGCTCCCCAGCCCCGCATTACCTGCCCTCAGGGCGCCGTAGGCCCGGTAGAAAAGGAACACCGGATCGCTGCCCAGCCGCCCCAGCGCCTCATCCGCCGCCGCCTGGACGTGGTGGAAGTAGCCTTCTTGGCAGTAATAATTGAGCAGGGCCTGCGGGAAAGGCGGCCTCGGTTCACTCGCGCAAACGCTTCACCCGGGACAACAGGAGACCGCGCCGACCGCCCCAGA